TGTGTGTGTGTGCATGTGTGTGTATGTGTGCGTGTGCATGTGTGCGTGTGTGCATGTGTGTGTGCATGTGTGTGTGCGTGTGTGTGTGTGTGCATGTGTGTGTGCATGTGTGTGTGTGTGTGTTACTGGGGTTTGAACTTAGGGCTTTGCACTGATAGGCAGAGGCACGTTCACTGAGCAGACCTCCAGCCCTCTTTTGTACAGAAAATTTTGAGACAGGATTTCACTTCCTCCCTCATTGTGGACCTGGACCATGATCTTCCTATTTGTCTCTTCCTACAGTGGCAAAGACAACATGCATACACCACCATATCCAGACTTTTCCATTGTGATAGAGTCTCATGGACTTTTCTGTCCAGGCTGGCCTTAAACCACAGCCCTCTTGATTTCAATTTCCCATGTACATAGGATGACAAGCATTGAACCCCATTTTACAAGAAAACCGTTCCTTTCAGGAACCCTACTCACTTATATTTCACTAGTTTGTTCTGCTCATGCAGTCAGTCACCCCTGTCTGGAAAAGGTGTCTGACAATTCCTAGATACCTGGTAACTTTGAATAACAATAAAGTTTGATAAATAAGGCCAAAATGGGGGAGCTGATAGTAGTCAAGCAACCAACAGGCTCGGCTACCAAAGGCTTACCTTGTTAACCTTTCTCACAAACCAAGCAGATGTAATTCCTGCTGACACTAGAGACCTAGATTTTTATGGAGAATTGTAAAAGGTGTCAGAAAACTGCTAATCAGAATTCAAAAATGAATGTAATACAATGCAGTGTTGTTTATACTCCAAAACAATGAGGAAAAATTTAAAATGTCTGACACTTCAACTCAGAAACCTTTAGCTGACATAGTAGCTAGTGCATATGCTTTCATTAGTTTTGGTATCAACCTTACATGCATTTTTGATATAGGGTAGCATCCATGTACAGCATTGTCTGCCCTTGAGAGAACATGACAAGCAGCCCATTCAGGCTCACTCTAGCAGAGAACTATACAGAACCCAGAATGTCTATTCTGTCCAAGAGGGGGCTTACCTCTACTTCAGCTCTTTCTCACTGGCTTCTTGCCTCTTCCTACTCTTCCCTAATTATTCGAGTCTATATTGAGCTCTCCTCTGCTAGTTAAAACCACAGAATTCTGTATATTGTTACATGGGTCTCTAGAGACAATCTCATCTTCCTAAATCCAGCCTGTGGCGCTCCATGGCTGCTGTCCATGGTAGGCAAAGCCATGGGTCACTTGGGACAGTATAGAAGTTATTGTGTAGGGACACTGATTCATGGATGATGGGACATCTATCTCTCTTTTTATTTTTTTGTCAGTTGTGGGGCTTGAGCTCTGGGCCTGGGCACTGTCCCTGGGCTCTTCAGCTCAAGGCTAGCACTCTACCACTTGAGCCACAGTGCCACTTTCGACTTTTTCTGTTTACATGGTGCTGAGGAACCGAACCCAGGGCCTCATGCATGGGAGGCAAGCACTCTACCACTGAGCCACCTTCCCAGCCCTGATGGGACATCTAAAGACACAATTCAGCCCTTTTAAAAATAGTAGCTGGCTCTCAGATCCTGTCATGTGGCCTGAACAGTATGATGTTCCCCTCTTGAGACACTAGCTCAGTGCCTAGAAGCATGTGCTGTCTCTGGAGGAAATGAACCACATCAGACTGGAGTCATGTGTGTTTAGAGAAATGGCTAAAGTCAAGTAGGCTATAAGCAACCCCCAGGTGAGCTCTCCTGTAGCCTTGCCCCATCACCTGCAATGGGATTCCTCATAAACTACTGTCCTCCAAAGAACTTCAATATAGGGCAAAAGTGCAAACAAATACAATAGACAAGAAATGGTGAAAATTAAGTATCAGAAAAAAAAGCTAAGAGGCTTTTCTTTTAAGAACTTTCTAGCCTCTCGCCAAACTATTACATGTAAGGAGCAAACATTTCCACTATTACTAATAGCTTCCTTTTTTGTCCTATAGGAGTTCATAAAGGAACTTAGACTTTATTAGTGTAATAACCACTACTTGATTAGTCATCATCTTTTCACATCTGCATGGCCCTGTATCATGAAGTAGAGCCCTTACACTCACTGCCTCTGAGACTCAAGCAAGGTTCACACTTGAGCCACAGGGACAAGCTATTTAATGGAATTGTGCCTTAATCTCTTCATCTGTACAATTGTGAGGCACGGTAGTATTTTCATATACCTCATGCAATACTGTGAGGATTAGATAAAAATCACCCATATAAGCTGTCAGAATCGTGTTAATTAATCTTTTCACTTAATTGATGCTTAGTGTTAGCTAAGAATTAAGAAAAGATGGTATGGATAAAGATGCATTGTACTCAAACTGACATGTTGAATTGGAACCCATTTACACAACTACTTAAAAATAATAAATTAAATTCAAAATATTTTTAATTTTGTTGTAAAGATGCTGTACAGAAGGGTTACATTACGTGAGTTAAGATAATGAGTACATTCTTGTCGAACATTGTTACCCCCTCCTTTGTTTTTCTCCCACTATCCCTTCCCTCCTCCACTCTTCCCCCCACCCCAAAGTTGTAAAGTTCATTTCCAATATAGTGTCTTGTGAGTATCGTTGTTGCAATGGGCCATCCTTTGTCCTTGTTTCAGCATTTAGTTATTCCCCTTCCCTTCCCCAAATTAGATAAGTGTATATACAAGATTCAGGTTACCAGTACCAAAGACAGTGATTGCCAGGGATAAACCAATGGAAAAAAGAAAAATTAAATAAAATCAAAAGAAAGAACTAGGTACAGAACATTAGTAACAACAAGGTCAACAACCAAAAAAAGATGTTGCTTCTATGTCTTGGAGTTCATTTCAATTAGCATCATTTTGTATGGTCCTATGTACATAGCTATTGAGCTATTCTGTTTCTCTGCCAGGACTATCCTAGACATATACTAATTATTACAAATGAGGTAAACAATGGAGCCTATGTTTCTTTGGGTGGGTCTGGCTTACTTCACTTAATAGGATTTTTTCCAAGTCTTTCCATTTCCCTACAAAAAGGGGTTTTGTCATTCTTTCTGATAGAAGCATAAATTTTCATTGTGTATATATACCACATTTTCTTAATCCATTCATCTGTTGAGGGGGCATGTGGGTTGGTCCTATATCTTAGCTATGGTAAATAAAACTGCAATGAACATAGTTGTGCTAGCAGCTTTAGTGTGGCCTTCCTTGTGATCATTGGGATAAATGCCCAGGAGTAGGATTGCTGGATCATGGGAGAGTTCTATGTTCAGTCTTTTGAGGAACCTCCATAGTGCTGGAAATAAAATTTTTAAAGATTTAGTTTTAAGGGGCTGGGAAGGTAGCTAAGTGGTAGAGTGCTTGCCTTGCATGCATGAGGCCCTGGGTTCGATTCCTCAGCACCACATAAGCAGAAAAAGCCAGAAGTGGCACTATGGCTCAAGGGGTAGAGTCCTAGCCTTGAGCTGAAGAGCTCAGGGACAGTGCCCAGGCCTAGAGTTTAGGCCCCATGACCAGAAAAAAAAAAGATTTGGTTTTAAATGATAAAATTTTAGTAGCTGGCAAGTCTTTGCCATATTGTATAAGAAATATTCAGTATCATAAGCATTTCCTATAAGATTAAGAAACATGATTTTTCCAGTGTTGAAGAATTATGTAATGACTGTATCGCAGAACATTTCTTATGCAAGTATTTAATTCCATATTTTTATTTCCAGATGGATGCTATTCCTAAAGATGATGCTCTATTACCTGAGAGAAGGAGAGATCTCCAGAAGGAAGTTGAAATGGCTAAGAGGAATTTGGCCCAGCAGGTTAATATAAGCTCTCATTTAAGCTTAATCTGGGTGTAGAGGTGGCACTGGGGATATAAACCAGGGTCTTGAGCATGCTAGGTGAGCATTCTCTGGCAAAATTGCATCTGCTAGGCCTTCTTCTATAATCCGGAAAGTATTTTATATTTGTTTATTTCTCTTTGACAAGATGTGTGTGTGTCTGTGTGTGCATGCACACGTGTACACATACATATGTATGCCAGTCCTGGGGCTTGAATTTAGGGCCTGGATGATATCTTTGAGCTTTTGTACTCAAGGTTAGTGTTCTGCCAGTTGACCCACAGCTCCTCATTTCTGACTTTTTGGTGTTTAACTAGAAACAAGAGTCTCACAGATTTTCCTGCCCATATTAGTTTTGAACCATGATTCTCAGAACCATGATTCTCCTAAATAGCTGGAATTACATCATGAGCCACTGATGCCTGGCCTTTGACAAGACTTTTAATCCTTTGTCATCACAAATGTATGACCCTTATAACAGAAACCAGATGAATCCCAGCAAATCTTGAATTATAAACAATGAGCAATAAACCTTGCATGGGAAAAACTGTAGTCTCAACATCTCTGAATTCTTCATCTTACCTCGAATAATTTTTTTTGGGGGGGGACCGGTCATGGGTCCTGAACCCTGGGCCTGGGCGCTATCCCTCAGCTCTTCAGCTCAAGGCTGGCGCTCTACCACTTGAGCCACAGCGCCACTTCCAGCTTTTTTTCTTTTTGCTTATGTGGTGCTGAGGAATCAAACCCAGGGCCTCATGCATGCAAGGCAAGCGCTCTACCACTGAGCCACCTTCCCAGCCCCACCTCGAATAATTTTTATGTGTACATAGTCCTTCCTCATCTTAAAGTTTACTCCAATCCAATTAAAATTTGAGACAAAAAGGATGCATCTGAAATGGCAAAACTTGTACAAGCCAATTATATTTTAAGTAGGACTATTGATTTCAGTAAAACTAAACAGTTTTGTTTTACCAATATCTCATCTAAAATTCCAATTTCGGTTATTAAATTAACTATAAGTATTTTTATTATGAAAATACCATACAGAGGGGTTACAATTACATGAGCAAAGTAATGAGTACATTTCTTGTCAAGCATTGTTGCCTCCTCCTTTGTTTCCCCTTCCCATCCCTTCCTATCTCCCCCCCACCTTCCCCCCAACCCCCCACTCTCCCCCCCACTCCTCCCACCCCACCTCCACCCCCCCTCTTCGGCCAAAGTTGTATAGTTCATTTTTCAACATAACTATTGAAGTATTTTTAGATGTGCTTTTGTAGTTGTTCTTACAGGTCTCTTGAAAACTATACAAATAGGAAAACTTTCTATCTTGTTAACTCATTGGTTTCCACATTCTTTTAAAAACTGAAACATTAAAGCTAAAACGGCAGGGTGACTTTGTTTTATCTTTCCATAAAATAAATCCACACAAAAAATGAAAAGGTAATCTAATATCCTAGCATCACTGTGTTCCTTCAGTCACGTATATTATTTTTTTCCAAAGTTACTTTTTCAAGTTTTGTTTTTTTTTTCAAAAGAAAATTCTATCAGAAGGTGAGACCAAGTTAGTAGAACAGCAAATTGCAGAAGAAAGCAAGCTTATGAAGGAGCAAGAAAACATGCGAGACCTGGTATTCACCCTGATCCGGATGACACAAATCAAAATTGATGAGAGGGAGCAGAAGTCCAAGGATTTCCTGAAAGCCCAGGTAACTGCATCTGTCTGGCCATTCTCAAGTTCTACAGAGTTTGGGGCACTCATTGTAGTACAAAAGTAAATAGGAAACTGTTAGTTCTAAGTCTCCTTCCAATCCCAGTGACTAAATTTTCCCTAAACTAGGTTAAATCATGCACTGATTTAAGGGGAAAAAAAACTACAAGTCTCAGGATTCACTTACCAATAGTCAATAGTGTAGAGAAAGGAAGAGATGTGAACAGATTCAGTGAGAAGAAGGTGATCACTTCGAGGAACAGGGCTAGCAGCGGCATAGACTGGAGATAGAAGCTGGATTCACAGAACCCCGCCTGGTTTGCCAAGGACAACTAACAAGCAATAGCAAGCACTCAACAACAATCCCTCTCATCAAGTGAGCATCATTCAAAGCAACACCAGGACAGCCTTAGTTACTGTTACATCCCCCTTCTCCCAGACTCCTACAAAGTGCCAGAGAATGGCCCAGTGCACCATCCCAAACCAAAAACTGTGGTGCTAAATTTCCAACACTAGATTTTAGTTAGTTATTCAGCCCAAGGAATAATGTCTAAATCTAGACAGAAGCTGGGGATGTATGTGGGTGGTAGAGCATTTGCCTAGCAGACACAAAGTCCTGGGTTTGATGCCCAGCCTACCATGCACAACTTACTGTTTTGTTAGTTAAGATAGGGGCTTGCTAAATCTTTACCTAATCTGGCCTCAAACTATGATCCTACTAATCTCCATCTCCTGAGTAACTAAGCTTATATATCCCAGCACTCAGGACATAGAGACAGGAGGATCAAGAGTTCAAGGCCAGCCTGGGCTATGTAGTGAGGAATCTTCCTTCATCTATCTTCCAAAAACAAAACAAAACAAAATTCCCCCAGTCTGGATGTTGGGGCTCCAGTCACTCTTTTGTCAGTAGTTTCCTTGACTTTCTCAACATGTGCTGGTTCTTTACTTTCTCCCCTCTCTCTCATTCTTTCTCTTCTTTGTCCCAGCATGAATTATGAAGTACTTCATTGGACCAGGCAGTTTTCTGATTTGCCTGACCCCATAGTCCACACAACTGAGCAGGTCAAGATGGAAATTTCCTTAATAGGTAGAAGTGGTGTAGGGAGAGCTCTGTTGTGGTGGTTGTGATTGTGATTGTTGTTCATCTCACCTGTGATTTTTTTTTTACATTGCAGCAAAAATGCAGCAACATTATGAAAGAAATCAAATCCAAAGATCTTGAAATCAGGATAAACAAGAAGAAAAAACACGAAATTCACCGGAGGTAAAAATTCCATGATCTACTATTTAACTGAGAGAAAGCTGAGTTTTACTTTATACGTTTCAAAAACACTTTGTTTTGTCACAGACTTGGAGAGTTTGCTAAATTATATGACACCATTCGAAATGAAAGGAACAAATTTGTGAACCTGCTTCACAAATCTCAGCAGAAAGTAAATGAAATAAGAGAACGGTACAAAATGTCATTAAATGAACTGGAAATTTTAAGAAATAGTGCAGTCGTTCAAGAAAGGTAAGAGTGTCATCACCATTGTCCATTCAGAGCATCATTTTCTGTTTCACTGGAACTTTAAAATATCCTGGCAATCGGAGATAAGAAAGCAAGAGTCTTTCAGAGAGCTGTAAAAGACCATTTCAAACACTTTGTTTCACACCTAACCTAAATGTTAGCACACAAGTTTTGTGCTTTTTTAATGAATGAAAAAGTGCGATATACAAGTATGTTTACTATGATGACTTGATTTTGATTTCCTCAATAAAGAAGAAAAGCATAAATTCAATCACTTGTATCACTACATAGAGAGAAGTGGTGGGTGGGCACCGGTGGCTCATACCTGGTGTGGCTACTACCACTTCTGCTGCTTCCTAGTTACTAGGGAGGCAGAGATTGTAAGGATTTCCATTTGAGTACAGCCCAGGCAAAAAGTTCACAAAACCCTATCTCAACAGAAAAAAAACGAGATGTGATGGCATGGGCCTGTCATCTCAGCTCCAGTGGGAAGTTTGAGAGGAAGATTGTGATCCAAGCTAACCTGAGCAAAAAGCAAGAGGATAGAGGGTAAAGTGAGTGTAATGGTAAAGATCAGAGGAAAGAAGGGAGGGAGGGAGGGAGGGAGGCAGAGAGGGAAGCAGGGGGAAGGAATGGTGAAGGTAAGAGAAAGGCATTTATGTGCTGGCCTATATGTTAGAAGAGAGAGAGATTAATCTCAGCTTAGTTCTGCTTGTGTTTAGGAAATTGTCATTGTTTTTAAAGGAAGAAAATTATAACCTACTCCACTATCCCATTATTTTAAAAGAAAGCTACAAAACGCCATGTTGAAACATGCGAACAATCTCACTATCCGAGAGAGCATGCAAAATGATGTATACAAAATCGTGGCAAAACTGCAGGAAATGAAAGAAAAGAAGGAAGCGCACTTAAACAGCATGGACAGACTTGCCAGCATGATCACCACCATAGAAGAAGAGATGGTACAGCTTCGCAAAAAGTATGAGAGAGCTGTTCAGAGGCGAAATGAAAGGTAAAATACGGGAGCCTGAGCAGGGTGCCTATAATCCTAGCTACTCAGGAGGATGAGATTTGACTATCACCATCTGAAGCCAGCTCAGGCAGGAAAAGTCCGTGAACTTTTATCTCCAATTAATCACCAAAAAGGCAGAAATGGAGGTATGGCTCAAGTAGTAGAGCACCAAAAAGTTAAAGGAAAGCACCCAGGCCCTGAGGTCAAGCCCCAGTATCACCAGTACAATCAATAAACAAATAAATCAGGAACCTTGCATGAAATTATCGGGGGATCCAAATTAGAGGTTGCCCCTTTTCTACCTACATAAGGAAGTGGTGAGGGCCAGGAGCTGGTTAGGTTATGTTAGCCTTTGAAGGGAAGGAAGTTGTGTGTTTTTGCCTGAAAATAAATGCTGTATTTGGAAGATAAAGGGACCAAGAGGAGGGTGTACTTGAACATCAAAGTCCTTTTGTCAGGGTTCCACTCAGGATGCCTTTGATAACATCAAATGCTCTCCAAATGACTCACAGAAATGAGTCTTTGGAATTTGTGTCCATTTCAGTAATAACTTTGGTTTTACCATTCTCTCAGATCATTTTCTCCAATAGTAAATTAGACCTTTAGGAGTAGCATTGCTTCTTCCATGCTATAATCGTGTCATTAATTAACTTGCTGTTTTAGCAGTTGCCTCCAAGCTGCTTGTACTTTGAGAAACTAGGCGTGAGCCTGAAGCCCTGTAGGAATGGCAGATGCCCTTGGAGGTTATCATTAAGCTGTGCATGCTACTTCATGGAAGGCATTGAAGTGCCAGAGCCTGAAATTGCAAGCTGATAATAAAACGTTGCTCATGATTTCCACTGTCAAGAGTGATTAGAGTAATTGACAGACAAATGTGGCAAAATACAGAGCTGCAAATTGCCAGACACTGCCACCCGCATACATGCTTGGAGGGAGGAGAAAGAAACTTAGAGACGCTGAATGGGAGAACTTGGATAATGGGATATGCAGATGGTGTGGGAAAACTTTCATGGTCTCTGAAGGGGGATAATTTTCTAAAGGATTAATGGCTGTTTTCTCTGGCTTAAAAAAAAAGATATTTGGATCCTGGCACAAATTTGGCACAAATGTACGAAGTCTATGGGCAAATAGTCTATTCCCAGGCCCCGGTCAGACCAAAGCTGCTGGAATTAGAAAATTCTTACTTTGCCTCTTTCCAGTGGCCTCTTCCCAAGGAGACGTCCCCCCACCCCCCACCCACTAGTGTGATTACAAAGAGCAGATTTTTTTTTTTGCCTGTTAATGAGGAAATTAGCATCAGAAATGCTTAATTTTTAGAGACCTTCGTGGGCCTGGCTTCTTCTGTAGAGCAGAGTCACTCCAGAAACACATTCCCTGGCCCTCAGCCTTGTGCTCTGGCAAGGGTGGCCTACGAGGTGGGATTGCAGAAAGTCAGACATGGAATCATGATGCTCATGTATCAGCAATGCCGTTCTATCCTGGCCTAGGACAACCTTTGGGCTCTCCAGAGCCCCTGTGACCAATCACACGATGGTCTCAAAGTAGAGATGCTAAAACCTCTTGTCACAGAAATACCCAGGATTTAGTTTAACTAGAAAGGCTCTGGCAAAGAAATATCTATCTCTACTGGAAGTATGCTGTGCTGGTGTGTCTTTAAGATGAAAAGCAGAGGGAACCGCAATGAATCTTCCTCTTCCTCTCAATTTGGCCACAGTGGCATTCAGCTGATAGAGCGGGAAGAAGAAGTGTGCATTTTCTATGAAAAAATAAATATCCAAGAGAAGATGAAACTCAGAGGGGATATTGAGATCCATATACTGGAGGAAAAGATCCGATTTCTGAAGCTGAAGATTGCTGAGAAGCAAAGACAGATTTGTGTGACACGGAAATTAGTGCCAGTCAAGAAGTCCTTAGATGCTGACCTGGCTGTACTCCAGATTCAGGTAGGAGAGCTACCATGGGACCTTCCTCAGGCCATTGTGGTGTGTGTGTCTGTGTCTGTGTCTGTGTGTCTGTGCATGCACATGTGCACATGTACACATGGACTAGTACTGGGGCTTGAACTCAGGACCTCCCATTCTTGGTTTTGCCACTCAGGGCTGGCACTCTACCACCTGAGTCATACATTCACTTTGGGCTTTTTGCTAGTTAATTGGAGATCAGAGTCCCATGGACTTTTCTGCCCTCGCTGGCTCTGAACCATGGTCCTCAGATCTTAACATCTTGACTAGCTAGGATTACATGTGTAAGCCACCAACATTGCACATTATTATTTTTCCCTTCATTAGTTTGTAGAGGATATGAGTTCTTGCATGTAAACTAATCCATGCTACTTTGAACCCTGCTCCAGACTAGAATTGGTGCCTCAGATGCCAGCTATAGCTTTAGTTTAAAAATAAATAAAGTTCCTTAGAATCTAGACTCTCCCAAGGCTTATCACTAGCTCATCTCTCTCATAACTTCAAACCAGTAATTTAGGCTCACAACCCCTCCTCTGTGATTGTGTTATTGATGCTTGCTGGTAGAGCTTAGGTACCCTCCAAAGCAAGAGATTTCTTGATTATTTGTTTATAATGACATACATTCAGAGATCTTCATTAATCTCTATAATTCTTTTATAATGGCTTCAGAGATGGGCCTTCTTTAAAGTGGAATTTTAAAGTTGAAAAAGTTCAAGTATACTGGGTAAGATGGCTCATACCTTATATCCCAGCTACCCCAGGACATAGAGATTAAGAGAATCTCAGTTCAAGGACAGTCTAGTCAAAACCATTTATAAGACCCCTATATCAACCAGGCACTAGTAGGTCTTGCCTGTCATTCTAGCTACTCAGGAGGCTACGGGATCTGAGGAACATGGTTCAAAGCTATCCCAGGCAGGAAAGTCTATGAGACTCTTATCTCCAGTTAACCATCAGAAAAACGGGAAGTAGAATTGTGGTTCAAAATGGTAAAGCACTAGTCTTGAGCAGAAAAGCTCAGAAACAGTGTCCAGGCCCTGAGTTCAGGCCTGACAACAGAAAGAAAAAAAAAAAGATCCCTATGTCATTCAATAAAAAGCTGGGCACAGTGGTATGTGCCAGTCATCCCAGGTACTCGGGAAGCATATAAGAATATTGTGGTCTGGCCTGGCCTGGACAAAAAGCCCAGTCCTATTCTAAAAATAACAAAAGTAAAAATGTCTGGAGGATGTGGTTCAGTTGATAAAGTGCCCTGCAAGCACCAGGGGCTGAATTCAAACCCTTGTATCACACACACACACACACACACACACACACACACACACAC